ATCCATTACATTATCGTTCTATAGCTAATGGTCAGTTAACCCTGAATGTACATTTCATATTCCATAAAGTTTCTAATGGTTTTTATAGAGTGTTTTACCCAAACTATAAGGCGAAGTGAAGATTAGAGAATAAAACAAGTAAATTACTCATGCATCCCAAAGTCACCTACCGTTTTACTAGTGAAGTGAACGCAGACATAATTTCTAAATAAATAAGAAAATGTTTTATCGTTCCTTGCTTGTCCTTTTTGTAAATTGAAATTCCATTTAACATTTTCAAACAGACATCGATATGTAGGTCACCCTCATCGTTTTTGGCACTTTTGGGGCTCTTTTTTTGAAACTTAACGAAGACATAATCACATTGTAAAATTGTTCTTTAAGTTGAACATATTGTCAAATGTTGTCCAATTCACAAACTATTCTCAAATGAGCATATGCCAAACACATGCATAAGGAAAATAAGTATGAAAGAAGGAATTGGAGAAAAAAAAAAGGAAAAAGAAAAACAACCATTTCATCGAGACGAACTCCCACCACCTCCCCACTTCATGTCCATCGAACCCCGATAATTCACCCTTCACAAAAATTTGTTATAGTTAAAATATGTGTTTTATCAACACCTCCACCAAGGCATAAAATCTTGGATTTTGATATGGAGAAATCTCTAGAAACCTTATAAATTTCTAAAGCATTGATAGGAGTGTCAATGCTGTACCATCAAATAGAAATGAAAGCTATATGGTAGCGGTTGAAAATAGCTTGACCTTAAATTAAGACATTGAGAGAAAAAAAAATATATATATATAGGAAAAATTGCAGTCACGGTATCAAACATTTCATTTAGTTGCACAATTTGCCTAAACCTTTCATTTGTGACACTCACGGTACCAAACATTTAAATAACTCACACTTGGAGTCCAATTAACAGAAACCGTTAGGTTGACCATTAGTTGACCAAAAATCAAAGGTCCTATCAATTGTTGACTAATTTTAAAGGACAAATGGGTATAAAAAAAATTAAAATAAAAGAATTACATAAAAAAAATAAAAACTCAATCTTCTTCTTCTCCATCTACCCCCACACATTCCCACGCCCACTGCCACACACTGGCGGACCCAGGGG